CGGCCGTGTGAGTTGGTTTAGATTCTTAGTTTTTCTTTTTTTTTTTTGTCTGGGCCGGGGCCGCATGTTGGAAGACGGGCGGTGTTTGTATTTTTATGGTCCGGGCCGGGTCCGAACTGGCCGAGTTAGTGACCCGGTTGTCCAGGGCCGGTTCAATGGACCGGCCCATAGAAATGGCCCAGCCGTTTACGGGCCATCAAATTGAGGCCCGCCGACCCAGCAGGCCGGGCTAGGTCACGGCCCGTTATTTGGCCACGCCTAGATGGTGGTTTAGTGGTGGTTTTTTCGTTTATTCTTTGACATCTTTCAACAGTCTTTGTTTTGCCAATATTTGCAAAAAATTTTCACCAGCATTGTGCACATTGCGGACGTTGTTAATAACTTATTACTAAAGCATTTTTTTTCATGTAGTTAAATTTAATTGGATGTTTTTATTTAATGGACGAGTTGAAATTTTTATGCCTGTATTTGTAGTGTAAGCCGTATAGATAAAAAAATATTGGTCAAATTACACACTGGCGACTGATATCTATTATCGTTGAGAAAAATGTTGAAACTCGACCATCATGGAATTCATCGGAATTTTTATAAAACATATATGAATGATGATAATGTGATAATTCAGACATTAGACTATCTTTATTGGTGACCCAAGGTTTGGTAACCAAGAAAAAAACAAAAATAAAAAAAATAAAAATAAAAAATAATAAAAAAAAACGAAAATAGAAGAAATTTGGGCGACCCAGGTCACAATGTGTCCTTGGGTCGCAACTCGGCCGCTGCTTCCTTTTTTCTTTTTTTTTTTCTTCATTCTTTTGGTTAAAGGGAGAGAGAAATGAAACACTTGTCCCATTTTTATTGGTCTAGTATAAATTTTATATGATAAGATAAGTTTAACTTAAATTATTGATATTATTTTATATTAAAAAATAAAATAAAAAATATCAAAATTTATATTTTTTCATTTTTTATAAATAGAGACCACTCTTGATATATTTTAGAACACAATTAAAATTATTATGTTTGGTTGGATTGTAGATAAAACAATACCAAAAAATGTATTTTAGATAATATTTAATAAATAAATAAATAAATAAATAAAAATAAAATAAATATTATGTTGGGTTGGGTTGGGACGAGTTGAGGATAAAGATATGTAGGTTGTTAAAAGTTGGGTTGTGTAGGTAGAAGAGAGAAATAATTTTTTATTATTGGTTTGGGTTGGAGATAAATATAGTCTTATTCTTAGGAACCTCCTCTCACGAGTTAAAATCCTCTCACCCAATTCTCTCTCTCACTCTCGACAAAAGTAGAAAATATGGGGTTTCGGCAGCACCCCTCTCCTTTGTCGACCGTCGGTCACGTTTTGCCCGTTCCCTCGGCCATTGGCTGAGCCGAAGACAGTCGCATGCTTCTTCTCTTCACTTTTCAGGGATCGGATGAGGTTCACTGTTAGGGGTTTCTGATGATCTGTATACTAAAAACATTGCTTCGTTTAAACACTATTTCTGTTTTGAATCAAAAAATCATGTTTAGCCAATGTTTATGCAATTTACTTTATGTATGAATTTGTCTTTTGTCATGTTATTCACACTGAAGATAAGTGTCTTGCTTATATGTCATCAATATATATAAGAGAATGATACGCTCAAAGGTCAAGTTACAAACCCGGTAAACTATATGTTTGCCAATTACCTAAAATCCTACTTCAAACACAACAAATAATCACGAGCTTTAAACCAGAATGTATTCTCGGGTTGTAACGTAGGCATTTTGGTCAAGGACAATATATATATATATGGGTTAAGTATCTCAAATACGCAATTATATCATTCGAGTATATAGACTTCTCGACTATCCGCCACTCATCTGTGATTAACATAACAAGTTTGTCATCAACAAACTAAAATAATCCATACACAAACTCATAAGTGCTCAAATGAATTTGCAAATAAAGTACTTGACCTTTTTTTTTTTTTTATTTAGAGAGTTCAATTTTTTCAAACAAGACCAAACCGCAAAGACAACATTCTTTAGGCATAAACATTGGAGGTCATCCAAGTATCATAGAGTGGTTTTCCATTATTCGATACCCGCCAAAATAAATTGACCAGTAAGAG